TATACAAAAGTATAAACCTAATTCATATACCTTTAAATGTGAATGTATTAAACAATCCAATTTAAATGAAAAAGAGTGATACATTGGATCAGAAGCAAAACTCCACAATCTGTAGCTTACAAGAAACACACCTAAAAAAATTAAGGTACTCACAAAATAAAAAATGAGGGGATGGATCAAAATTTACCGCACATCAAGTGAATTCCAAAAAATAGGAATTGAAATCGTTTTATAAGACAAAGCAAAACCAAAAATTCACAGCAGAAAAAGAGACAAACAAGATGACTACATTATGTCAAAAAGAACCATAAATAATGAACCAATAATAATATTAAAATTTTATGTTCCTAATCCCTTAACATCTAAATTCATGAAAGAAAAAAAAACAATTGAATTACAGGAAGATATAGTCAATAATTCAATAGTGAAAGGAGTTTTCAGGGACCCTTTCTCAGTTTTGGAAAAATCCAATTGAAAAATAAAGAAGAGAAAATAGAGAATTGAAAAAAATGTTCAGCTAAAATTTAGAGCTAAAAAAATCTTTTAAATGGGACTTCTAAAATATTTGTTGTAAACAAACATTAAAGGTGTTATAAAAAATATTGGTATTATAAACAAATATTATATGGCAGAAATAATAGATATACCTTTTCCAGACTATGATATAATACAAATAGTAATAAGGGAGTACTAACACAAAAAGACATAGACCCAAATATAGATTTAAAAATGAATCCTAAATAATGAGTGGGTCATAGAAGAAAACATAGAAGCAATTAATAAATATATGAAAGAAAATTGTGGAGACATATCAAAATATCTGCAATGCAGCTAAAGAAATCCTCAGGGGAAAAATAATTTTGCTACAGATATAACATTAACAAAATAGAAAAAGAGAAGATTAATGAACTGAATATGCATTTGAAAAATCAGAAAGCCAATAAATAAACCTAAAATAAGCACAAAAGAGGAGATATTAAAGTTAGAGAAGTAATAGATGTACTGGAAACCAAAAATATTATTCATTGGAGAGTAAAACTAAAAATCAGTACTTTGAAAAGACTAATAACACTGACAGATATTTAGGAAGCTAACCTAATTAAAGAAGAGGGCAGGAAATCAAATGAACAGAATAATAAATGAACAAGATAAAAGCACAAAGTCAGAAGAAATGAAAAAAATTATCAACACCTAATATGAATGAGTGCTTGTTACCAAAATTGAGAACACAAAGGAAATGGTGAAATATCTTCAAATATATGAAATACTAAAACTGACACAAGACCAAATAGGGATTTTAAACTACTCTCAGCTAAATAAATACAACTGGCTGTAAAAGAACTACCAACACCACCCTCAATCTTAATGGACTCACAAGACAGTTCAAATTCTAAAAAATTCAGATAAAATCATGTCAAATAGATAATGCCAATTCACACAAGAGATTCTTCATTGTGTTAAAGTTGGATTTATATCAGGGATGCAAGGATAGTTCAACATTAGGTAAAGAGAACATAAAATGATCCCAATTTGCTAACATGATGTTTTACTTAGAATCCTAAAGAATTAGTAAATATACCAGTTGAGACAATTAATGGCTTCAGCAAAATTGTAGGCTACAAAAGAAACTCTCAAAATCAGTAGCAATTATATTTGAAAATTTGAAAATTATATTTTTAGCATTCTTTTTTATTTTGAGTTCCAAATTCTCTCCCTCCCTTTAGCTCCCACCCCATCCAGTGAGAAAGCAAGCAATATGCTACTCATTATACATGTGAAGTCAAGATGAAAAATGTTATCCACTTCCAGATTGAGAATTGATGAACTCAATACAGATTGAAGCATGTGTGTGTGTGTGTGTGTGTGTACACACACACACACACACACACACACAAATATGTATACATATACATATTTAAATTTTTTCCACTTCATTTTCTTTATTTTTCTTGCTTTTTTTGCAACATAGCTATTATGGAAATATGTTTTACATGACTTCACATGTATAATGAGTAGCATATTACTTGCTTTCTCAATGGGTGCCCTTTGGGCATAGTTCCAAATTGTTCTCTAGAATGGCTAGAGTAGTTCATAACTACCTGAACAATGCATTATTGTACCTATTTTCTACATCCTATCTGGCATTTGTCATTTTCCTTTTCTGTCATATTAGCCAATCTGAGATGGTACCTCAGAGTTGTTTTAATTTTCATTTCTCTGATTCAGGGCTTTTTAAACTTTTTCAACTCACAACCGCTTAAGTGCTTCTTAAACTCTGGGTCACAACCCTATATGAGTCTAATATTGATTAGTAATCAGTAGCGATTTAGAGCATTTTTATTTGACTAGAGATAGCCTTGATTTCTTCTTTTGAAAACTTCCTGTTCATATCCTTTGAACATTTATGTATTGGGAAATGCCTCTCATTTTTATAAATTTTGTTCAGTTCCCTGTGTATTTGAGAAGTGAAGCCTTTATCAGAGAAACTTGCTGTAAATTTCTCCTCCCTGCCCCTACTAGTTTCCTATTTGTGTTCTAATTTTGGCTTCATTGGTTTTGTTTGCACAAAACTTTTTTTATTTTATTTTTAAGTAATAAAAGTTATTCTTTTTGCATCCTGTGATCCTCTCTAGCTCTTATTTGGTTATAAACTCTTGCTTTATCCATAGATCTGACAGGTAATTTCCCCCATGCTTCCCTAATTTCCATTTAATATCATCCTTTATGTCTAAATCATGTCCCCATTTTGACCTAATCTTCTATGGCTAGTTCCTGCAAATGTAGCTTTCTAGTTTTTCTAGCAATTTTTTTTTCAAAAGTGAGTACTAACCCCAAAACCAAATTGCTTTCTTTTGGAAGAAGTGTATTGTGAAATCAATGTTTCAGGAAATGATAACTACAGTCTAACCTGAGAGGATAATGGGGGAAATTATCATCATGTCTTAAAAATAAGACCAATAAAAGCACATTTCAAAAAGAGAAAAAAAAACAATTTATGACTTCTGTAAATGAGAATCAATTATGCATTTATGGGAAATGATGAAAATTGTCCCAAAACAAAGTAATTTGTTTTGGAAGAGTGATATGAAATTAATGTTTCAGGAAATGATTACTACAGTTCAACCTGAGTCATCTCTCTAGTTATACCTCTGGGAAGATGTTTCACAACTATCCTTTTGAAAAAAAGTAATATTTTATTTTCCTCCCAATTACATGTAAAGATAATTTTTAAAATTTATCTTTAAGCAATTTTGAATTAAGAAAATTTCTCTCTTTCTCACCTATCCTCTCCATGAGATGGTAAGCAATTTGATATAGGTTATACATATTCAATTATGTAAAACATATTACTGTATTAGTCATGTTGTGAAAGAAGACAGAAACCCAAAGGGAAAAAAATGCCATGAAAAAATACAGAAAGAGAGAAATAATATACTATAACCTGCATTCAGACTCCATCAGTTTTTTCTCTGAAGGGAGATAGTGTTTTTCATCATGAGTCCTTTCAAATTATCTTGGATCATTGTATTGCTGAGAATAGCTAAGTCATTCACAGTTGATCATCATACAATATTGCTGTTACTATGTATAATGTTCTGGTTCTGCTCACTCCATTTTGCATTAGTTCATATAAATCTTTACAGGTTTTCCTAAAGTCAGCCTGCTTATCATTTCTTGTAGTACAGGAATATTCCATTACCATAACTATCTTTAAAAAAACTATTTAAAAACTATTCTCTGAAAGGAAAATGAACAATAACCTATGCAATAATCTATATAGTAAGAAAAAATTTAAGTTCTCTGTGTAATGTCTTTGATTTGTGATAAAAGATTCCTAAAAGGAAATAAATTATTTATTCCTATCTGGAAAGAAATGTACAATATAATTGAACTGTATGTGTGTGTGTGTGTATGTACACACACATACACATATATGCATATATATTATATATATGTATATATATATATATATGTATTATTCAGCTTGGCAAATTGGCTACAGTAAACAATGGCAATTGTGTTTATCCTTTTCCTTTTAGGGATGATGAATAACTGATAATCAACTTGGAAAATTAGCTCCAAAATATCACAGATAGTTACAAAATTAAGGCAATTAGTTTGAATATCTATATCTTAATTTATATTTCTTTGTTTATCTCCCATTTCCTACAAATCATGTTTCTTCTAGTTTTAAATATTGCAGACTATTGCTAGAAAAATTATTCATTTTTCTTTAGGAAGTTTACAAGAGAACTTTACAACCATTTGGATGATCAAAAATCAATACTCTGATATAATTAATTATTTTTATTGCTAATAACAAACTATATTTTATGATTATATGTAGTACTACCTGTTTTCTCTTCCCTTTCCTGAGTTCTCAAAGGCTATGCCAGTGGAGAAAAAGCCTTAACAGGTTATTCCAAACTGCAATGGCTTTGAATATTCTCTTGATGGTAGTTTGTATGACTGTTGCTAAATTTGGGGAGGCTCTGCACAGTCAATAATAATTGGATAATATATATTTTTTAGCCATGGCAATTTTATACTGTGTCATCCAAATTAAAGAGGGGTATGGATACAGCCTAAACTCTCTCACCTTAATTAAATGGTGAATCCTTGGGTAGATCACTGGTTTACCAAAAGGAATCACAAATTTGCTATTCTTTATCTATTAATTTTCCAGCTAATCTTATTTAGTTTCCACTATACACATACTACTGTGTTAAGACTAAAAATGCTTTGTGCAGTGTTTTATAAAGCACTCTCATTTCAGCTTGATACTCATGGAAACCCTGAAATGTAGGCATCAGACATAATATTAGTATACATGATCATGAAAATTTGATTCATTCTGATTATTTTTATGACTGTTTTCCATACTTTGGAAAGGTGTAGTACATTTCCATATGCCCTGTTGCAAGAACCAGTACATTTTAGTTGCTAGAATCAATTACCGGTCTAATAGATACAATTTAAAATATCTGTTTTTCTTTCAGAAAAAAGCAGCAGACCATCCCAAGAGAACTCCTTCTATATGGTTCGCAATGTACAAGGCCTTCGGGCGACCAATCTTGCTGAGCAGCACATTCCGCTATCTGGCTGACCTGTTGGGTTTTGCTGGACCTCTCTGTATTTCTGGAATAGTTCAGCGTGTAAATGACACTATGGGATCAATAAATACAACAGATAGAGTAAGTTTAGGGTGCATTATTGTCACATCGTTTCTTTGTTATTTTCTCTTTTGTGCTTTCTAAAATGTTTATTTTCAGAGCATTTTATGCATGTGAAAGAAGGTAGATTAATCTTTGTAAGGAGGATATATCCTTTAAGTACCTCTGAATGAGTCAGATAGTAATTTTTCTTGATTTAGAATTAGAGGAAAGCCAGGCACACCCTTCTGTGCACCCTTGATTTTAGCTTAAAAAAATTTGAATTGGTTAAAAAAAGGGTTACTAAAATATTTAAAATTCTATAGTAGGCCCTTACCATGGTCCAGCCATAAAGAATACTGTCTTATGGGCTAAACCTCAGAAAGAACAGGTTGAGGAAGAATGGCAAGAACAACAAAAAAAGAGCATTTTTTAAATTTATGGAATTTATTTATTTAATAGGAGGATCAAAAAAGGAAGAAGACTGATGCTCAGGGTAGTGTGTGTGGGGTGATGGTAATAGATTATGGAGAGAATGGAAAATTGTTGAGCTCCGATTTTACTTCTGTTTTCTCTTACAAAGGAAATGATCTTTGGATTGGAAAGGACAAATTAAAAATAGCTAATAGAGAGTTGGGGGGAAGTTGCCAGGATTGGAGAAGGGCAAATGTTTCCCTAATTCTTTCTTGCCTTTTTTTTTTAAAGAAGAAAGTAGAGTCTACAAACTATAAGACAGTTGGTTTGACTTCAATTCCTGGCATAGTTCTAGAGCTTATTATTAAATCATTGACAACAGAGTCAGGGATCATAAAGAGCTAACATTTCTTTGTCAAGAGTTTGTCAAGGCTTGTTTCATTTTGTAACAGGGTTACTAGACTGCTAGAAAAACACTTTCTTATATTTTAGTAAAATATTTGACAGTGTTGCTTGTCGTACTCTTATGGAAAAGATGGTGAGATATGGGTTATATAAGAATAGAATTTAGAACTAGCACTTGGTTGAACGGCTAAACTCAAAGACTAGTCACTTTGGGAGTTAATGGGTTCTATCTCCCCCTCCCCATCCCATTTAGGACTGCAAACAAATGAATATGGGTTGGGTATCTGTTTGACTATATGGCTTTTGAGGTGCCTTTGAACTCTGAAATCACATGATTTTGTCAATCAAAAATAACTGTAGGCTTGCAAATTTTGATGGTTGGGAGTGTGGTGGTGTCATCAATAGATATAGATTGTCATGTTTTATTTCAGCACTAGGAATTCTTTTTATACTGGGGTAATTGAGTCAACTCTTCTAGTCATCAATAATATTTGATTTTTAAACAAATATTAATTTGTGATTATTAGTCTAAATCAGGTTTGTAAAATTGATTTCTCTATATTAGCTTTTAAAAAATCACAATTTCCCCTGGGCTGGAACACATTTGCCAGTTCACTCCTTTATACCACTAAATTACCCTCAAACTCATTTATTTCATTGCTCTAAATACAACATATATTCATCTAAATATAACAGATTTTCTAAATTTTAACAAATTTACAACAAATTAAACAAATTTCATCTAAATACAGCAAATTTTCAGCATATATGCTCATCATATATCATCATAGGTACAGAAATGGTGGCATGTGCATCCTAGTTATTGGGAAGACTGAGTAGAAGTGCATCTCTTGATCTCAGGCATTCTGAACTCCAGTGGGCTGTGCTGACCTGTTGTCTGCAAGAAATTTGGTGTCAATATAGTAAACCTCTGGGAGTGAGGAGCCACCATGTTGCCTAAGAAGGGACAAACTGGAAACGAAGCAACTTAAAGTTCTTGGGCAAGACAGAGAAATCCAGTCTTTAAACACACACACATATGTACATGCATGCACGTGCACATGTGCACATGCATACACGCACCCACACACCCACTAAACACTAAAATTCTGCTGAAATAATTAAAGGTTTTCAAGTCATCTTTATTGTACCACCACACTCCTAACCACTAAAATTCGAAAGCCTGTAGTTATTTTTGATTCATAGAATCATGCAATCTAAGAGCTTTAAGACACCTCAGTGGACATATAGTCCAAATCATCCATAATCCCATATCTACCTTAATGGTCAATTTAAATCATCATGTGCCTGAGTTGTCACTATTGGTGGAAAATTTGAAATAACTATACTATATAGTTCATTATATAGTGCTTTGAAGACTTGAGAGGACAAGGATTCACAAGCAACTGAAACTCATTTGCTTATATTCATTAAGCTTATTTTGATTTAGGTCTTGTACAGCTAACCTCATATTTGTTTTATAGCTGCTATTATTTTTATAGCAAGTTTTTATAATTTCAGTCAATAAATTGATCAAATATTATGTGCAGAGTACTGTGCTTTAGACCACAGGAGTTACAAAGGAAATGTAAGATTTGGGCCTTGCCCTTAAAGTGTTTAAAGTCTAGTTAATTATATAATATGTACATTAAATGAAACAGGATACAACAACTTTTGTTCAGTTCAGTGCTACAGACAAGTCCAATTGGAGGTCAAAATAGGAAAGATAAATTAAATTGATAAACTTTTAATTTAGTGCAATTCAATTCAATAAGTATTAATTGTGAAATTGCCTGATGTAGTAGTTAGAAGCCTTGGAGTCAGGATCTCTGAGTTTAAGTCAGGATTCTGACACATGCTAGTTTTGTGTCCCTAGACAACTTACTGAAATTCTTATTGCCCTAGGCATCTCTCTATGACTAAATTCTAGAGCTTATTGGTGTTGGCAGAGGGAATTTCCTCATTAGGAACTCCCTACGCAGATGAAAGTATGGGCCTGAATCTTTTTAAAAAGCATTTATTACATGTCTACTATGAGCAAGGCACTGTGAATACAAAAACAAAATGGCAAATAGTCCCTACCCTTAAATATCTCACATTGTACTAAGAGATACACCCTACAAATAGTTAATTTTATTTCTATTAAATTGTATTTATATTAGTATACATTATTTATATTGACTTATATTGATTTTATTTATATTAAAGATTATGCAAATACTTTGTTTCAATATAATTTGATGAAAGAGAGAATACTACAACTAAGATGATCAGAAAATGCTTCCTCTGCGCCTTGAAATAAGTCTCAAAGGAAGCTGAGAAGAGGCTAAGAGACAGAGGTGATAAGGGGACTACATTCCAGGTATAGAGGCATGGAGACAAGGCCAAGTTCTGGCAATAACAAGTGGGCCAACTTAATTGAATTATAGAATATGTGAAATGGAGGATAATGAAATGAACCTGAAAAGGTAAACTGGATCCACACTAGAAGGGTTCATAAAGGAGATTACCATGTTGAACAGTTTTTATTTTTCTCTAGAGGTAATAAGGAGGACGAGACGGTTCTTAAGTAGAGAAGTGACATGGTCATACCTGGGTTTTGGGAAAATTATTGTGGTACTCATGTGGCGAATCATGGAATACTTGTATTTATGAGATTATTATGCAATTTTAAAGAAGAAACAGTCAAAATAAATTCAAAAGATCTTAGTTTACAGCTGGAAAGTACCTAAGTGGCTTGGAAGTAAAGCATAATTTATATTTACCTTTTTGATGACATATCTTGCATCTTTTTTACATTTAAGGTAGCTCTTCCTCTAAATAATTTTATAGTTGTCATATCATGTACATACTGGGTGTATTAGCTTTTCTAATTTTTTTTTTCTTTTTAATGGTAAGCATTCAGGTTCACTTACCTCAAAGGAATTCCTTGAAAATGCTTATGTGTTAGCTGTTCTTCTATTCTTGGCCCTGATTCTACAAAGAACATTTTTACAGGCCTCCTACTATGTCACCATAGAAACTGGCATTAATCTTCGTGGAGCTTTGCTGGTAAATATGTGCTTTATTTTATTTATGTCTTCAAAATATATCCAATTATAATCATATCCACAATTTTATATTTTCTTTTTTCTTTAAATTGACTGGGTTATATCAGCAATACTTTCAGGGAAGTGTAATGAAGATAAATAATAGAAATATTTGTTGTTTTGTACTCTTCATCACAATTCATTTTATGCCAAGAAATATTGGAGTATTTGGGGACATACTTCATGTTTCATCTCATAACAAATATTAAGATCATGATTATAGGAATTCTATTTGATAGAAGCCGTATAGAAAAAATGAATAAAACATGGATTTTTAGTCCAAATAACAAGTTTCAAAAGAGATTTTTGAATCCTGTATATCTCTTGATTTAGCCTCCCCATTTAATAATGAAGTAATCTTTATTAACACTATAATTTTATGTGTTTCATTTCTTATAGGCTATGATATACAATAAGATCCTGAGGCTTTCTACATCCAATTTGTCCATGGGTGAGATGACTCTGGGACAAATTAATAACTTGGTTGCCATAGAAACTAATCAGCTCATGTGGTTCTTGTTCCTGTGTCCTAATCTATGGGCCATGCCTGTTCAGGTAGAGCATCAATGTAAGGTTTTAATTTGTTAAAAAAAAAAGTGGAAAGGCAGTTAGCTTACTAAGAGCTTTTCAGGAAGTTGTCAAAAGAAACCCTTTGCTTTACTATTAGTTTTCCATACTGAAAAGGGGAACGGTGAAGGGTGAAAAAAGAAATGACTGAAGAAACAAAGGTTCAATCTTCTGAGTATATTGATTTATTAAGCAATGTGTAGCAGTTGCCCAAGAAATCAGCACCAGACTGTCTCAGCTTAGGTCTAGACCCCAAATACATGGGGAATTTAGACTTTTATTTATTAAAAACAATCCAATAAGATAATTAATTAAAATGAAATGATACAACAATAGGTAATCTGATTTCTAATTGAAGGAAAGATTAGGGACTTTCCAAGGGAGAGCAAACAGGTGTAATTCCCTGAAATCAGAAGGGAGGTGTCCCATTCCCCTCAAGTGTCTATAAACAATCACAGAAATGTAGAAATCCATATGGGGCCAGTTTTCTAATAAAATATATGAGTTACTTGAGATGTTTAATTGTGGGAAAATTCCTTATATCAATTTTAGGATCTGACTCGGTTTCTGGTCAGCATAATCTAGGTCCTTGGTTAAGGGTCTCTCAGTAGCAGTAGAAGTGGTCCAGCTTCCTGGTCACTCAGAGCTAGGTTCAAACAATGCAGTAAGGTTTTCTCCCATTTCCCACAATTTATTCGAATAAAGTTTTCTCATATGATAGAAATTGGACTAGATGCATAACTGAATAGAAAGGAAACTGAGCTAGCTCTAGAATTGAGTCACAAGATAGAGTCAGTGTGGTTCACTTAATTCCCATAATAAACCATTTGCTGTCCTAATCCCCTCAATTCCCTCAGAACACAAATATAATCTTAAGGAGGTAAGCCTTCCCATGTCTTACTCCAATGCTTCATTTTTGCTTAGGTGTGACATAGGGCTATTGAATACTGTGACAATGGAGAAAAACTTTGATAGGTCCTGCTTAGAAGTAATACTTAAAAGTATAATCCTGGTGACTATGTGTCTGCCTTCTGTAGAATTACTCAGTTAAGTTTGAAAACAGTTATCCCCAGGTTGTCCACAGTCTACAGAATTAACCTTTAAATAAATCTTTGGGCAAAGGCCCTCCATCCACTGGTTAACCAGTGGCTGCTACCTTTTTTTGGATGCTACCTTTTTCGGACATCTATGTGAATTACTAACTCTTCTGGCTTCAGTTTATGTACTTAGCCAACTACCATTAAAAAGCAGTTTTTATCAGGAATTTATTGCTTGGTAGAGATTTTAGAGGTAGGAGAGATTCTAAAATGCCAATCCCTTAACCTGAAGCAAACAGTGTTTTCTGTGGTCCTCTAGGAAATAGGATCCTAACTGGTATTATTTTTCAGTCATTTTTTTCAACATCATTTTTTGCACCAAATTTGTTCTAGGAACTTGCTGCGTTAGAGGAGTCCCCAGCAGTTTGTGCTATCATGTGAGCCAAGAGCCTTTTCTCATACTAGCATCTCTGCCTTCTTTTCTAGTCAATGTGTCTTCGCTGCAGCCAGGTTTTTATTTTTAGTCACATTTCTAATTACTTGTACAGGGACATATGGTAGCAAAAGGGCTGTCTTTGCTCTCTACTGCCTTCTAAACTCCAACTTTCCTTTTCTAAGCCTTATATGGCTTCTCATGTTCTGCCAGTCCCCGAGTGAAAGGCTCAGGGTGGCTTTTAAATCCAGTGTCTCCCATTTGCACAACCAGCATTGGAACTCTTTTTTTCCCCTTTGATAAATGTTTTAGGATTTTCAACCAGTCAGGGATCTCTAAACCCTGAGGTAGGATTTTTTAAAAAAAGAAAATAATTAAGACCAGGGTTGGGGGAGTCATAATTATCAAATTAATTATGTAATACAATCTAGAATTCCAAACTCCAAATAAAGAAATTTCACTTAAAATTTTTTTGGGGACAAAATCAGTTCTCAAAGACCATATTTCAAATTATAAAGGAATTTCAATATGTATCAGTGGCTACTATGAAATAGATCTTTGAAATATTGAAGTAGGAAACATTTAAGAAAGCCTAGCTTATTTAAAACAATTTGATATAGAAATTTGGAGTAGTAGAAATACAACTTGAGTTGAGAGTACCAGGTTTTTGTCTTGCCTCTGTCAACTACGTAAACTTGAGTAAATCACTCATTTTGTTTGGACCTCATTTTTCTCATTTGTAGAATGAGGTTGGACTAATTGATCTCTAAAATCACTTCCAATCCTGTCTGTGGGTTCCTAAAAACTTTCACAACCAGAGAGCTGAATACACTGTTTATGTATCAAAAGAGTCTTCACGTCAAAAAATATTAACGATTAGTTTCTGTTGTTATTATTAATTCACAAAGGATTCACAATTTCATCAGTATGGGTATTCCCTTTGCTAATACAGATAGAAACGCTTCTACAACTTTGTAAGTAGTCTTTGGGAATTCTTGTGATAAAAAAATTGTCATTGTCCAGAAGCCATCTGCTAATAACTCTCAAAAACTAACTAGGTTGTTCCTCAGCATATATACATATGTAGATACACACACACACACACACATACAGGTATATATGAATGTGTATGTGCATGCATATGCATATGTATACACACACACATATATATATACACATGCACGAACATATATCTTTTCAAAAGTATTTACTTGTTTTTACATACATTTATAATCTGTTCCTCCCACTGAACAAACCAAAAAGAAAACTTTTGTCACAAACATATATAGTACAAGTAAACAAATTCTCACGTTAGTCATGCCCCAAAATGGATGTTTCTTTTTGTATTTTGGGTTTATCACCTCTCAGGCAGAAGGCAAGTGGCATGTTTAATCTTTAGTCTTCTCTTCTCAGGGTTTATTATTTAAATGGCTAGTGTTCAAAAACCTTTCTTAAGTTTTCTCTTTCCCTAGAATGTTATTGTCATTTTATAAATTGTTCTAGTTTCGTTCATTTTGCTCTGAATCAGCTCATACAGGTCTTGCCAGTTTCCTCTGAAACTGTCCCTTTTGTAATATTTTTAAATGGCAGAATAGGATTCAGTTAAATGCATGTATCATAATTTGTATAGCTTTTCAAAAATAGGAATATGGACCCTTAGTTTCCAATTTTTTGACTACAAGAAAAGAGCAGTTATAACATTTTTAATACATATAGGTCCTTTCCTTCTGTCTCTGATATATTTGGGGTGAAGGCCAAATAGTGGTATAACTAAGTGAGAGGGTATTATATGCATTTAGTAACTTGTTGAACATTTATCTAAATGGTGTTTCAGAATAGCTGGATTAGTTTGCAACTCCACCAGACATTAGTGTAACTGTTTTCCTGAAGTCCTTCCAACATTTATCATTTTCCTCTTTTGTCATTTTTGCCAATCTCGTAGACATGAGGTAGAATCTTAAAGTTGCTTTAATTTGCATTTTGTTAATTATTAGTGATTTAGAGAATTTTTATAATGTTATTGTTAGCTTATATTTCTTTCTTTGAAAACTGCCTTTCATGGGGGAATGGCTTTGATTTATATATTTTGATCAGGGCCCATTATATACTTTGGATATAAGATTTTTTTCAGAGAAACTTGCTGCAAATATTTTTTAATTTACCTATTTTCCTCTTGATTTTTCAAAACTGTGCAAAAACTTTTTTAAAGTTTACATAATTAAAATTGCCCATTTTAACTTATGTGATCCTCCCACTTGTTTAGTCATTGATGCTTTTCCTATCCATAGATCTGACATGTAATTTATTAATTGGACCTCTAATTTGTCTATGTTGTGATTTTAAATCTACACCATGTGTCTTTTTTAAGTGCCTCTTGGTACGTGGTGGGAGTATAGGTCTAAACTTAATTTCTGCCAGACTGTTGTTCCATGTTTCCAGAAGTTTTTGTTCAATAGGAGTCTTTCCCAGTAACTGAAGTCTTTAGGTTTATCGAACATTGCTATTGTACTTGTTTGTTTTTCTACATTTTATATGTAAACTCTTCCACTGATTGACTTCTCTTTTAACTAGTATCAAATAATTTTTAATGTTTATTAAATCAGGTACTACTACACTACCTTCTTTCCCCCTTTTTTCACTGTTAGCTTGATTCTTGATCATTTTTTACCTCTATATAAATTTCATTATTTTTTCTTTCTTTCTTCTTCTCCTTTTTTTTTTTTTTGGCTAGGCAATGGGGTTAAGTGACTTGCCCGGGGTCACACAGCTAGTAAGTGTTATGTGTCTGAGGCCAGATTTGAACTCAGGTCCTCCTGACTCTGGGCTGGTGTTCTCTCCACTGTGCCACCTACCTGCCCCCATTATTTTTTTCAATGCTATAAAATAATTTTTTTGTAGTTGGATTTGTACTGCACTGAATAAGTAAATGAATGTATGTAGTATTATTTTTATAACATTAGTTTGACCAACCCATGAGTAATTAATGTTTCTCTAATTATGTTGGCCTTTCGTTATTTCTACAAAAAGTAGTTTTTGGGTGTCTTGGTAAATGCATTCCTAAATACCTTATAGCTTCTGTAGTTATTTCAAATGGGATGTCCCTTTCTACCTCTTCTTTCTGGGTTTTCTTGGTAGTATAAAGGAATACTAATGTTATATGTGGATTTATTTTATATCTTGCTACTTTGCTGAATTTATTGTTTCAATCAATTTTTGGTTTCTCTTTGAGGTTATCTGAATAAATGCTCATACCATCTGCAAAAAGCAATAGTTGTTTCCCCTGTGCCTGTGCTTATTATTTTAATTCTCTTTTTTTATTGCTATAGCTAGCATTTCTAGGAGGCATTCTTGCTTCTCTCTTGATCTAATTGGAAAAGTCTCCAACTTTTCTCCAATATTTGCTCTTGGATTTTGATAAATAGTATTTACAGTATTAAGAAAAGGTTTTTTTTAAAAATAGAAACATGCTAAATTTTGTAAAAAGTTTTTCAGTATCTATTGATAAAATAATATGATTTTATTTTTATATTAATATCTAAGAAGTCTATATAAAGAGTCTTTGTGACCTTGGGAAACTCACTTCATCTCACTATGCCTCAGTTTTCTCATATGTAAAGTGAGGGATGTGGACTCTATGGCCTCTGTGGTTTCTTTTATCATTAAACCTATGATTCTATAACCAATGCTTAATGTTGATTAAACTTTTGCAGGAAGTAGTGATAATCAAGGTCAACATCTGTATTTTTCCATATCTTACTTAAAATAGATCAAGTTGAAATTATTAGAATTGATGCTTTCTTATTTTTAGTGTTATGAAAATTTATACTGATTTTAAACTTTGCTCTGAGTTATGTACATGCAACATCAAACAGGCCAGTATGGATTGTGTGAAGGGGCACAATATGGAATGACAGTCTGGAGCCAGGTTTCCCCTGGTTACTATCTGTCTCTGCTTAAAAAGAAGATCAGATGTTCAGTGGCTAAGAAATTTCTAGGTCTTTTGAATTCTTCATTGTGTTGATTGCTTGATATTGTTTAACCTTCTGAAGAAAGTGGTGATAAGCAAGGTTAATGTTTATGTGTTTCTATTTCCTTTTATTTTTTTGGCTAGGCAATGGGGTTAAGTGACTTGCCCAGGGTCACACAGCTAGTAAATGTTATGTATCTGAGGCCGGATTTTAACTCAGGTCCTCCGGAATCCAGGACCTGAATCCACTGCGCCACTTAGCTGACCCTATTTCCTTTTTTAATAGGTCAAGTTACAGCTATAACAATTGTTTGTAGTGTCTTTTTACTTTCAGAATTTGTTGCAATTTGATGTTGATTTCACTTTTTTTCTTGCTAGTTAATGGTATGTCAGCATACAGAAAATGGTTCTTAAACATTCATCAGAATTCATTGATCAGTAACTATTCACATTAACATTTAGTATTTTCTATATCTAGAGTCTTCAGACTGTACTATGTTATTTTAAGAAGAAGACTTCTATATTTTCTTATAAACTTGTGGCTGCTTTTTTAAAAAATCAGATCTTAACTTCATATTCCATCATATTTTCCCAAATTATCCCCTGTGTCTACTTTCACATTGAAGTCACTGAGTCTCAAAATTGTAGACTGTCATGGTTTGAAGGATCATATAATTTCTTTGCTTTTTTATTTTCTGCAACAGATATTGATTCATAAGTTGTAGTTATCTTCATAATCTTTTTTGCTTAAGCTCATCATGAGCACTTTAAGAGTTTATGATTAGTTATCACATGAATAAATTCCTTGTTTCTTTTGGATGCATGAGAAAAATATCTTCATCATTTGCTTTGTTTTTCTTTCTAAGAGAACTTATGAACCATCAAGCTGTTTAACTGTAACTTCCTTTATTCTTTTCTTTACATTTTTCCTGACAATATTAATATTGATATGCTTCAGCTCCTCTAATAGTATACCAATTTTTTGGTCTTTGTACAATGATTTTACTAGAGTTTAATGTCTTAGAGTCAGAGTAGTATTTATAAGTGGTCTAAAAACTCTGATTCATAGAATTCTCTAGTCTTTTTCTCATCATTTTTTTTTAGTGAGGCAATTGGGGTTGACTTGCCCAAGGTCACACAGCTAGTACGTGTCAAGTGTTTGGTCTGAGGCAGGATTTGAACTCAGGTCATCCTCCTGACTTCAGGGCCTGTGCTCTATCCATTGCGCCACCTAGCTGCCCCATTTTCTCATCATTCTTACCATGGTTACTGAAGCATAAAGGGATCACACAACACTTACGTCCATTTTGCACTTTTCTTTATTTCATCTATTACCATAGCCAAATAACATCACTTAGTGGTCAGTCTATTGATGATGTGCCTTTTTTGGTTAGGTTTGTTCTTAGACAGTAGACTCAGTCTAATGTTGAGATGTAAAGCCTACTTATCATGTTATTATATGTCAAAGTTTGTTGTCCATTAGCATAATTTTCAAGAACCCACAGCCACTCTCATCCAATAGAGGCACTGGAGTAAGATTTGTGGAGCTACCTTTAATTATTACCATGGAAAACTTTTCATTCCTACTGTTAACCATATATATATATATATACACACACACATGTATATATATATATATATATATATATATATATGTGCACATATACATACATATACATATATGTATGTATATGTATTTATACACACATGTATGTATAGTTGCTATATATAGTCACACACATATATACATAATATTAGTAATATATGAGAATACATTTATATGTATTACTTTATGAGATTAATTATTTGATAAAGATTCAGGCATTAGGATAGAGAATTAAATTGAATGGTTGTGGGGTTGGAAGGAGGGATCTCATAGACCTAGGATGATTAGTTGAGTGACTAGAAATATTCTAAGTTAAGTGGGATAATAAGGTTAATATCTAGAAAGAATCTCAAAAGCATTTCAGGGGAGGACTGAAGATCAACATCTCCTCCTTTACAATTTTACCTAGGGACTTTACTGATTATTGTTAATGTAGAACAAACTTTCTCAAACTATAGATTGTGTTTCCCAGGGAAATACATGTTAAGAGTTACTCAATCCACTATTTTAGAACCCCAAGCAGTTGTTTGTTAGTGATAGATGTTGCCAAACATTGGCTGAACTGGCTTCTTCCCCTTTTGCTATATATTGGTTCATCACTTATGTTTTTGTCCTATCAGCTAATATCTACTATAATCCAGATAGAGAGAATATTATTGAGGACCTCCAGTCCTTCAGTAGGTGAGTTCACCCTCAAGAGAAAAAAAAAGGCAACTTTAATATCCTGTCCTTTTAGAGACTAATATAGGTCAAGTCAGGAAATTGGGCATCCTCAGCAGCCTCATGAGGTAAACGTATGGAATAGCAGAATGGTAGATTGTCAGACTAAGAACGAATGCTTTGATGTACGTTTTTACAGATAAATCATAATAATCTCAACTGTTGAAAAAGGAGTTGATTTCCTAATAGACAACGGTTTACCTGGTTCTTTTTGTTTATTTACTATATCATTAAAGAATATTAAGTTTTCCATTAAAAAGAATTCCCTATGAGTTTCCCTCTGTGTCTTTCCTTTTTACATGTGTTTTTCTCCTTAGATCATAATGGGAGTGATTCTGCTCTATAACTTACTTGGATTAAGTGCGCTGGTCGGTGCAGCTGTCATAGTGTTACTCGCGCCAATTCAGTACTTCATAGCTACAAAGTTGGCTGAGGCTCAGAAGAGCACTCTGGTAAGTTCCATCATTTGGCTCCTCTCTTAGGAAAATCTCGTGCTGCTATTTATTTTCAAATATAGGAAATTGATACATATCACTTGGGATATTTTGGAAGGATATTGTTCATGTATTTAATCTTGATTCTTGAATTTTTATGTTATCATAGGCAGAAAACATGAATTTCTTGTGTTCCAAAGATCATTTGGAAAAGAAAAAGATTTAGAAATCCAAGACTTGAAGCTCTTAGCTTCCCAAACCCCACATGAACAGATTCTGATATTATTAATTACTCTGAAGTTGTAAGACTTTGAACCCCTTTCTGAAATACTCTGCCTAAGGAATTAAAATTAACATAGCACACTTAGAGCCCTTTGATGAATGGGATGCAAAAAATATATATATCAAGGGACAAGAAAAGGATCAGTTTTGATGCTTCTGAAAACTAAATTTCCCAAGAGCAGAATCACAACATGTGATGAGATATGGAACAGCGGCAGCTGTTTTGGTTAAATATGCTCCTGGTTAGCTTAGCAAGGAAAGGGAAAAAAAAAACATCCTTGACCTTCTTTGGCTCTACTGTTCCATGGAAACATTTCTTATTGGAGTATGAATTGGCCCATTTTGAAGGAATATTTGAGAATTATGAAATTGTTGACAGTAATTTAGAAATAAAGTTTGATTAAATATGAGCAAGCGATCTCCATAAATCTGTAACATTTAGCACGGCTTTCCCTGCTGAAAGAATTGCTTCCCATGATCAATTTTCCAACTAGTCTGTTGCACGTATATCTTGTACTTCCTACACTCTACACCTTGCATCTCTGTGACTACTGATGGAAATGTCACATCCTTAAATTATACCTTCAAAACACATGTACACTACTTTTGGCATAGCAGGAGGGACCCTAGAATAGCCATATCATATTTGAGGTACTTGGCCCACTCAAAACATAGATCACAAGCCCCTTTTAATATGTTTACTTTTATTAATCACCCAGGGGAAAATTATTCCAAAGCAAAGTCATTCACAATATAATAGCAGTAACAAAAAAAGCAATACAACATAGCTCTTATCAACCTAGGACACACTTTGCCAATAGTACATACTCCATTAGTGGGAGATGTGGACACACAGAGGGATCACATATGGGAGCAAATGTCTAAGGAATATGTATGACCGTGGCATTAGTGTGGAGAAGCAGCTCGTGCCTCTGATGGCTCAGGGCCATGAATGCCTTTAGGTGATATCAGTATGTTGTTTTTCTGTTCCAGTCTAGAGGTGAAGCAGCCGTTGTCTCTTCCCATTCGGTATCCTGTATAATCTCCTCACTCCCTTTCCTATGTGGCATAGTATTGTATAGGAGTCTTCCACTTCTCTTCTCATATCCCAATGGAATATGTTATAAAGTTGATTTGAGGGCATTTTCTTACTTCTTCCATGGCATATTTTGTGCTATTTGCCCTTAATCTAAACTTTGCTATTTATGACTGAAAAAAACATTATGTGCCTCAACAAGATAGGACAAATGAACTTTCTCTTTGTGACTTCATTTCTTCTAGCAGACTTATTAATATAAATTAGTGTTAGTGTTCCGTCAAAGAATCAAAAGACAAAGAAATTTTTTGAGGTATAGGGTTTTTTAGAAGTCATGTCATCCAATACTTGGTTTTACAGATAAGGAAAATGACTTGCAGAAACAAGAAGTATTTGTCCCCGTGTCACATAGTTGATTGATGGACAGCCAGAATAGAATGTATCTTCTACTTTTCAGCCTACAGTTTTCTCTAACACACATCACTACCTTGTTCTTTCATTTAAACTCTTCTCACACTTTCTTGTTTCACTGTTTTGCAGGATTATTCTACTGAAAGGTTGAAGAAAACAAATGAGATACTAAAAGGCATCAAGCTTTTAAAGCTGTATGCCTGGGAGCACATATTTTGCAAAAGTGTAGAGGAAACAAGAATGAAGGAGCTTACCAGTCTCAAAACCTTTGCACTTTACACATCACTTTCCAGTAAGTTCATAAAGAGTTGGACAAGACATTAGAGGTGATCTCCTCTGTCTCCCTCATTTTACAGCTAGAAAATCAAGTCCCAGGGTAACGAATTGATTACTTAAGGTTTACATAGGTATTAAGTAGCAAAGTCTGGAATTTAACGTTGGTCTGCTTGACTCAGGCCTCCATCCGCTATCACTCTGCCTCTTGTTGCCAGGATGATGTTAAAGGTGATTAAAATTGTTTGTGATCTACTTTGTTTAAATTTGTGGTTCTGAAATTTTTGAGATTCATGTGAAAGAATGGTAAGTCATAATGTTCAGTGAGACATTTAAACCACTATAGAAAGACTTAATTTTTAGTAAATACATTCTAATTAATTTTGTGTTTTATATATTATAAGCTTTTATTGGGAGAATTTCTACTAGTACCCAATTCAAAGACATAATTTTTTAGTATTTTATCATTATATTGATCCCAACTCTATTCTTTAGTACTTTCATGTATATTCTTTTGCTTTTTAAATTATGCAAAGACATTTTAAGTACCAAATCTTTTTACTTTTTCCCCACTTCATCACATTGCCCTTTTAAAAATTTTATTTCCAAGAAACTGACCCCAAGCATTTCTCAGCCACTTTCTCTGTATCATAGGATACTACAAATTCAGAAAATGTTAACTAATCTGTTAATTTAAAACTCATTTAAGCCAAACAAATCTGCAGCAAAATTGTAACATAGATAAAGAAGCCCGGACCAATGTCATTTAATACCAGTGCTATTGTCATTTTAGCCAAGTACCACTCCCAGTCAAGAATGGTCTAGATCTCTAAGAATATTTCACATCAGCCTGATTTATGCCTAGTAGGATTTTGTTGTGGTTTTTGTTCTTTAGTCAGATTGCTAAATATCACATAGAGATGATGATAAGATTCAGAGCTGGACAAGACTTTAGAAATCTCATAAATACTGGAAGAAACCAGTTAAGTGATGAGCTGGTGGTTGAGGCTGATACCTTTATTAGTAATGGCCTCATTCAAAACAAAGGAGCACCAGGTAAGTGGTTTCATCTCATTAGAATGTGAACTCTTTGAGGGCAGGAACTGTTTTTGCCTTTCATTAAATCCAATACTTAGCACTGTGCCTGACACATGGTAAGTACTTAATAAATAAATGATTGTTAACTTGTCTTGATTTGACTTGAAGCAACCAGGGCTTGTCATAAGCAAAATTGTGAGGTGCGTTTTCAGGATCTCTGCAAATCCCAATGCAAGTATTTATTGTTCATATATTATCTATTCAGAACTGTGCTAGGGACTATAAGGTGGGAGTATAGAAGAAGTTATGACAGAATCCTTTCCCTCAAAGGGTTTATAGTCATTTTAGATAAGATTAATGAAAATGAAACAAGAATGACCAATTCAAGTAACACATTTTAAGAGTTCACAGAAGTTGGCCAGGGAGGGGTGAAGTACTCACGGATGAGATAAGACTTATACTGTCCTTTAAGAAAGAATAGTATGTGGAAAAGCAGAAAGGAAAGAACTCTTCACAATGACAGATTACAATGAGAGGAAAGGAGAGGCTACTCAACTTTAAGAAAATCACAGGAGTAGGACATTGTTTAATGGGAGGAAACTGACATGACTAGAAAATATTAGGGAGTAGTGGGAAAGAAAATTAATTGGTTGAGGTAGAGCAAATTATGGACACTTGTTGTGAAGAGTTTAGATGTGTTGCATTGGGTAATAAGGAAAAAAATTACACAATCTATTTTTAATAGAGCCTCTTTAGAAGATACAGTGCCTTAACAAAAAGGAATGGCTCTAGAGGTAGAAACTCTACACTTTGAAAAACCATTAGGCAGATATTTTGGAATAGGTGGAACTTTCAGTGCCACCCAAATTAATTCTCATATGCACTCAATCATCTATGAATAAACTGATTCTCTAGGGGCCTACCCTTATGTATCATGATTTGAGCAGTGGCAAAGGGCACTTTTCTAAAATATCTTCCCACTATGCTTTCCTATGACACCAGTTTCTCCTTCCTACCTAACTGGAAATAACTATTATTTGCATGATTCACTCCTTTGAGCCAGATTGAAATATGTAATTTGGAGGAGAAAAAGGGTAGCATGGCTCTCTCTGAATATGCTAGTCAATTCTTTTAGATTAACTTAACAGAATTAGAATGATATCCTCATAGAAAGAACAATGAATCTGGTGGCAAAAAGTCTTGGTTTAAATCATAACTACTGTTTCTTAGTGTGAGACCTTGGGCAAGTTCTCTGAGGCACTTCCCTGTGCCTCAGTTTTCTTCTCTTTAAAATAACAATAGTAATAATTTCACTGTCTAGCTCATAGCATTACTGCAAGGAACATAGATTGTTGTTTAGTTGTTCAGTTATGTCCAATGTTTCATGACATCATATGGGGTTGTCCTGGCAAAGATACTGGAGTGGTTTGCCATTTTCTTTCTCCAGTGGATTAAGACAAATAGAGGTTAAGTGACTTGGCCAGGGTCACTAGCTAGTAAGCATTTGAGGCTAGATTTGAACTTAGGTCTTCCAGGCCTAGTGCTCTATTCATTGATCCATCTAGCTGCCTCCAAACTGTAAGGTACAGTATAAGAAAAAGCTGTTATTATCATAGTGCATAGGAATTTACATTTATGTAGTGTTTGAAGTTTGTATAAAACTTTACATGTATTTGATCCTCGGAAGAGCCCTAGGAAGTAAGTATTATAGATGGTATTATTCCCATTTTCTAGATGCAGAAATTGAGGCTTGGAATAAAGAAATGACTTGCCCATGATCACGTAACTACAAAAGAAACACAGGTTTTTTTTTAAACTTTAAGTCCAGCATTCTTTTCACTGACATACTGCCTTTTGCCCTTTGAAAGCAGAGTGGGATATGAGGGGAGTTAAGTTTTTAGGGCAGGGAATGGCTTCATGTTGAAGGGAGCAAAAAGATGAGGTGCAAGAAGTGTCTCAGGGGTGGCTTATGGGCAGCAGAGGAAAAGGAGGTCACCAGATAGCTAGGGTAAGGTATCCAGATAAGCTTTATCTACTTGACTGTTTTGAATGGGGCTATGTCTGTGCGCGACGCTGATCTGAGTACCAGTCTATGCCAGTCTGTTTCTAGACTTCCTGGGAAATACAAACACACAAATACATACATACATATATGTGTGTGTGTGTGTATATATATATATGTATAGAGAGAGAAATGAAAAAATATATAAATGTATATAATGTATATATATATACAAACATACCACATATTTATATGTTATATACATACATACATATATATATGTAAATATTCCCTTAGATGGTTTTACTTTCTCAGAGAAAGAATAGAAAAATGATGGCATCTTAGGCTTTGAGGTTAGATGTAGGACAGTGTGTTATAGGGGCCTTAAAAACTTCTTTCCCTTCCACGCTCAGGGAATGCCCATTACATGCACAAAGGAGAGTCAGATATGGAAGATGCAAGATATTTTTGCAAATTGTTTTTCTTCTACATTTTGAATGATGTTCTGTCTACACCAATATGCCCGAAACTGAACAATCAATTGTTACTCTATGTTTGAGTTCCTTACTGATAGTTGGAAACTCCTATTAGATTATCCTCTTTTGTTAGCCGGAGAAGCTTGCCTACATTCCTGGTGGCTGAGATGATATCTGGGAGAAAGGGCAAAGTTCCCTTGCCTTATTCCATAAAAGAATATCCAACTCTCCATTGCCAAGCAGCCTTGTGCAGGGATTACGTATACAGTATTTCATTACCCAACGGTTGATTTCAGTTATTTAAAAGAAAGGCAAAGCTATGTCTTTTTAAGTTTGACATAACTTGTTCTAATGGGGGGAATTTAAAGAATAGAAAATAGGGGGCAGCTAGGTGGTGCAGTGGATAGAGCACCGGCCCTGAAGTCAGGAGGACCTCAGTCTAAATCCAGCCTCAGACCAAACACTTGACACTCACTAGCTGTATGACCTGGGCAAATCACTTAACCCCAATTGCCTAAAAAAACCAAACCAAAATAAAATAAATAAATAAATTATAAGAATGAATTAAAGGAAAAGGAAATATTAAGAGTAGGGTAGAAGTAGCCATGATAATGCTCAAAGAATAAAGGAGCTGAAGTTAAGACGTGGCTGCTGCCTAAAATATGTCTCCATGCTCATTGGGTTAATTTGACATTGGTGTCCGATTTTAGATTTCTATTAGTCTTAGTTTGAGTTAAGTGAATTTTGATTCACTTCTGGAATTGAACACATTTCTTTGACTGTACTGTTTAGGATCCAGAGAGGGTTGTTCATTAACAATTATAAATTTTATAAATTAACAGTTATAAATGAGGTCTGGTGATAGCAGCATGGCGACATAGAGAATGTAGTCTAGAAACCTCCCCTTCTAAGACTGCAGTGTTATTATTTATGGGAAACAGTCATGTTACATTGTTATCTTAGGTGTTTTAAAAATATGACCTCCAAATAGTATAACTGGAGTTGATATCTTAGTAATTGAAGACAAAGTATGAAATCCATTTTTCCTACTTTTAACTTCAGATAATGTATTTATCATAGGCAAACAGAATAAGCATCTGAACAATTTTCTAAGCTACTGGGAGTATTGTGTGTATAATGACTTTAATTATACGAAAAGCCTCTCAATAAAAACAAACAAACAAAACCTAATCATGACATTGTGGGGGAGTTACTAGAAGTGATGTGAAAGCCTCGTCCTTAATTTGTACAGTAGATTATATTCCTGTTAAGCTCTTCATTTTAGTTATTTCGACTAACCAAACAGCTCTTTCTTTCTATGGGAACAGAAAAGAATACAGGCTATGTAATATTACGTATAATGTGTCATGTCCTTCTTAAAGATGTACAGTCTAGTTTACCATCCTTTTATATTTTACTAACAAAAAATTGGTTCCTGAACTCTATTATTTACAATGTTTCAAATGTTATTTTATTAAGATATAATTTTGTAATCAGAGGAGAATATTTTCCTGTTGGGGTACCATGTAGGAGCTTGGATGGCTGTGGACAGGAAGTACCAATTGGGGAAAGTTTATGGAATGTTATTTAACTTTGTCCCTTGTGTCTCTTGGGACACTTAAAGTAATAACAGATGGCTAATTAAACTTAAAAATAATTTAACATCTCAAAGATTCTAATATATACATACATATTATTTCCTTCCACAGTTTTTATGAATGCAGCAATCCCCATAGCAGCTGTTCTTGCAGTAAGCAAACCTTTTTTTCTTATAGAGATAAATAATAAACAAATGCTAGTGTTTGTAGAAATGTCTTATGTGCTTTCTCTTCTTGTTTCGAAAGCTACATTTTATCAGCTGTGGAACCATCTGATTGTTAATGTAATTTTGATTGTCACATTATATTTAAAATGAAAAGTAAATGTGAACAACTTGTTATTTATAGAAATGGAAATGATTCTACTATATTTTGCATGTTGGCATGTTGGCAGTCTCAATGATGAGACTATATTTCAGAGAAACCTTAAAAAATTCTTCTTTCTCTGGAAAATTTCATATTGATTACACTGTAGATAATCAACATAAAATGTTTATTGAACTATACTGTTTTGTTCAAGTGAGATGAATTTGGGTGAATTTGTCTTGCTTTTTTCCCTTTTTTTTTCTTTTCTTCTTTTCTTCTTTTAGCATTATCAGGTAATAAATGGAAAAGTTGGACCCTTCTGACATATGAAATCAATGTAATTTTTTGGGTGAGACTTTTGAGGGCAATTGCTAATGGAATCTTTGTTTGTAATTCTATAGACCTTTGTGACACATGCTTATACAAGTAAGAAATTGTTAAAACCAGCAGAGGCCTTCGCTTCTTTGTCACTCTTTCATATCCTGGTCACGCCGCTATTCCTGCTCTCCACAGTGGTCAGATTTGCAGTCAAAGCCATTATCAGGTACACCTTTTCTTGAAGAGTTCTAGATTATGTTTTTATTTGGCCCTTTAGAAACATTATATATGCCTTACTGTTTGAAAACTATTCACTCAACTTTTGGTCTCTGAAGGAGGATTCTTTGAACACAGGATAGTATTTAAACATGAAGAATGATGGTAAGTATAGACACTACTTCTATTTTGAATATTTTGGTTAATTCATATGTTTCTTGCAGTTTTGTAGTTGTACGTGTCTCAAAGACATATGATTCCTCTTTTTCTTTTTTCCTACTTTTACATTCTCTCATATAATGTAGTCAATCAATTAGCATGTGTGAATAACCATTGCCAAAGTAATCTAAAAATAGTATTATGAATCTTTGTATAAGAGTTTTATGTAACTAGTTGTACATTTGGGAGGGAATATCCAGGATACATCAGGAAGTCTACTCCAAGCGTGTGAAGACTTCCTCCAGTAGAATAGTTAGATGAGAACAGTTTGTTCCAAAGGCTATGAAGGCAGCTAAAACAGGCACTTTGGATAGAACTTGGTCAGAAATCAAAGATGCAAAGGTCACCCACTGCATTCTGGGGCCATTGCCAGTCATCTTGACTTTTGTCTTGCCACTGGATTTTAATAACTATGGAAGAGAGAGCAAAGCTGATGACTTGGTGCAACTGTCTCACTTAAATCCAATTCATGAGGAAGTCAAGACATCACTCTCTAATGACATTGTTCCTCTTTGAAAATGAAGGAGGCTCTGGCCTTGGAGTCAGGAAGACCTGAGTACAAATCCAGCCTCAGACACTTGACATTTTCTAGTTGTGTGACCCTGGGCAAGTCACCTAACCCCAATCGCCTCACTAAAAAGCAAAAAAAAAAAAATTGAAGGAGGAACAACAATTATCAGTGAAGGAAAATAAGAATGTTCTGGCAGACCTTTAATCAACCAAGGAGTAAAAGAGAGTTTCTGCCCTGAAGAAATTTACATTCTCCTAGGAGGAGACGGTAAGTTCATAGATAAATCAAAACAGGGTATATGCAAAAATACATACTCACTTTTTGGGAAGGGAACTGACAACTATGATAATCAGGAAAGGCTTTTTGAAGGAAGGATCACTCGAGCTGAGCCTCAAAGGGATCTAGGAATTCCAAGAGGGAGAGGTGAAGACAGAAAGCATCCCAGGCATAGGAAGTAACCTATGTGAAGGTAGAGTCAGGAATGAAGTGTTACATACAGGAAATAGCAAGTTGGCTAATTTGACTAAAGCATAGTGTGTATCTGAGAGAGAATAATATATAATTCACCCAGAAAGAACCTGGAGCTAGATGGTGAGGAGATTGAAATTCTAAGCAGACCAGTTTGTACTTTATCTTAAGGGCAATGGAGAGCTAATGGACCTTCTTGAACAGAGGTATGATGTGAGTATACCTAGACTTTAGGAATATTTTACTATTTTTTGAGGAATCTGAAAGATTTATCCTCATGCATTGTAATTATAAGAATCTGTTTTAAGATCTTTTTAAACTATGTACTTCTTTCTTTCCTAATGTCGATGCAATATGTAAGGAGTATAAATACAATGATTTTCTAATGTAATGTTTGTGCCAACATGGGTTGTTTCAATGTATAGATGTGGCTCATGGATAACATGGATAGATATGATCTGAGATCTGGCCTGTTTTTGCAGAGAGGATCCTCCCAAAAAAAAAGCCTTGTCTGCATTGCCAGCATGATAGATGGGGGAAAAGGACAGGTAGGATCCATGAATTCTGTCCAGAGAGATGCTCTTTGGGTATCAAACTACAATTATGCCTATTGTCTCCCCTTCTTTCCTTCCCCAATGTTGTTAATCTAGGGGCTTTTTAGGAACAAAAGGCACTTCCCTGATTTCTTTTAAGGGGAAGAAGTAATCTTTGGTTACTTAGCTCCTTCCTACCAAATGCTGGGTACTCCAGAGACCATCACAGATAACATATGGAATAAAACCAAAGCAAAACAGCAAACAGAAATCAGGCAAGTTGTATAGAATACAATATAACCAAGGACTGCACATATGTGAATGAGCTCTTCAGCTGCAAGTAAGATAAGATCTCCACTCAACCAAGGACGCAACTTTACCCAGAGGAGATCTGTTTTCTGCAGTCTTTAAAATTTCAAGTTGAGTCCACATTATGAAGCTAGATTCCCACGAACATCTGCCATTTCAGAATTTTCTTCTCTCTCTACCATTTCTCTGTTGCTGTGACTATAACATGTGCCTCTATCCAGATTTTCTGGAACCAACTAAGTCTCTTTTGTAAGCGCTCAGCATTGTGCTCATCATTGTCTCTGTCAATCTGGGCTCCAGAGTCTCCCTCCATACGTAGCTTGCAGCAAAGGACCATCCCTCCTCAACCTTGCTTTGGTGAGATTCAGATTACATGAACCTTAATACTGGAAGATTCTGAATCTATAATTTTAGAGAGGGAGTAATAGCTTCCAGCCAAATTAGCCCAAAGTCATATTATTTTTTAATTTAAAAGGGATCTCAGAGATCATCATGTTGAACCTCCTCCTTTAATAGATAAAGAAACTGAGACCCAGCTAGGGAAAGCGGATTATCTAAGGTTTCTAGTGTTTCCTACATTATAGCAGAACTAAGACTATAAGACAAATTTCCTGACTTTCTAGCTGGGTGCTCATTCCCTTACTCTGACTGAAGTTTCTCTACACTGAAACCATTAACTGATGAAAATTATAATATTAGTACAATTAATTTCTCAGTAGTATGGCATTAACTATGATAGGATTTGGAGCTAGAAGGGCCCTTAGAGATAGTATAGTTCAAACCACCTATTTTACAGATGAAGACACTGACAGCTACAAATGGGAAGTAATTTAACTGAAGTTATATTGGCAGTAACTGAAGGAGGTTTGAATTTAGATCCTCTGACTCTGGGTTCAGTTGTATTTTTCTGCCTCTTTACAGGGTAGGTTAGATTTAGAGCTTAGGCCTTGTAGACACCTATGCTGATTTTTCCTATTCATTGTTTTGCTTGTGTTGTTGTTCAACTGTTTCAGTCTTGTCCAACTCTTCATCACCTTATTTTTGGGGTTTCTTGGCAAAGATACTGGAGTGGTTTGCCATTTCCTTACTTCCTTCACTCATTTTACAGATGAGTAAACTGAGGTAAAACAGGGTTGGGTGACTTGCCCAGGATCACACAGCTAAGTAAGAGTCTGAGATTAGATTTGAACTCAGGTCTTCCTGGCTCCAGGCCTACTGCACCACCTTACTGCCCTTTCACTCTATTTTCTGAAAAAATCATGCAGATCACTCATTGATTTTTACAGCAACACTTGCAGATCAGGCTTTTTCAAAGGAAGCTATTTCAAACAATACAATTAATAAATCATAAAGCATCTATTATTTTGGTCTCTATTTTCATTTTCTTCATTAGCACTGGATCCTTTCATTATTATATTTTTAATTCAAAATATTCTTTTCAGCAACAGAGATAGAAAAAATGATAACATAATAAGGCGTAACTATTGAAATAATAAGGATTACGACTTAGAGAATTTTTAAGCCCTTTTTATATTTGGGAATTTCTAAACCCTCTGCCAACAATTCTAATTTAGCAGGTATTGAGAAATGATAACATTTCTTCAAGAATGATATACTGTACTTCATTTTCCCATCCCCACAGTAGAGTGAAAAGGCACTTGCTAGCTTGATAAAGATCAGTGTGTTTGAAGGGCTTTGCTCCAGACACCTCATATCTTCCATATAATAAGATTTCTGCTTATGTTGGTTCATAGACTTGATAGAGATGGCAAGCCAACCCAACTTTCACTGTGTATTCATTCTGGGAACCCAAACTAGAGACTCCCTAATAATTGTTGCATTTTGCCAAATTGGCCAGAATCAATCTGCATTTTCAGTTGTTCTTAGGGGATCCATGATCAGTCTCTGATGCCAGTTGGCCTATCACAATTTGGACAGAATTATAATTGGAGAAACTAGTTAGCTGATTTCAGAATGTCCCTTATAGGATTGGAGAAATAGCAATATTTGACTTTAAAACTAGTTTGACTAGCTTATACTTATGGCCCCTTTGCAAAGTATTCAAGGTTTGGAGGATATTCTTAATACTTTGTTTAAATCCACTATTATAAGGAAATTTTACATAGCAGTGGGGCTTGGGGGAAGTTCTTCACAAAAGGATCATTCTAGCAATGAAAGTTCTCCCCATTGTACTCTGTGACTGTGATTACAATATGAAATCCAGTAATTAACTGAGACAGTTATAGAATAGTTCAAACTGTATCCCCCACCTTATGTACTTTGAACTTTCTGAATATTTTAATGCAAAATAGACATCCATAAAAGTTGAGACAAGGACATTTCAAAAATGTCCTCCATTCCATAAATCCTGAAGCATACTCACCACTGCTTTCAGGACTGGGTTCTCATTGTAAATAATCCCAAATTAGATTTATTTCATCATGAAACATGCCGAAGATATTCAAAGGTGTTTAATCTTTTACTTAGCATCGTGAAACACACTGAAGATATTCGAAGATATTTAATTGCCAAATGGATTTTATAGCTGTCCATTTAGTCATGTTCAGCAAAAGGCATTTGGGTACTGAGGAGTCACACACCCTAGTGGTATGCACCTGCTCATCTATTTAATCATATTCAGCAGAAAGCATCTGGGTTCTGGGGAGTCACACACCCTAGTGGTATGCACCTGCTCTCCTAGGCAGACATGCTGAGTAAATACTCTGCTCTCTGTGGTTTCTGTGGAGTCAATGACTTTCTCTTCCTCAACTCTGTCTCTTTTCATGGGGTCATACCCATTTATTGTCAAGGGGTTTCTGGATTTGTGAATCTACACAGTTAGAAATGAGCTCTGAGATTCTCATACTGGTGAACCCCACTTTCTTTCTGATCTTACTCTATTTCTGTGAGAGCAAATTATGATTGCACAGAAGCAGACAAGCATACTTATTGTTGTACACAGCATTTATTACTATAGAACTGATGGGCAGATAATAGATCACGAAGAGGAAGCAATGAGCAACAAAATGATAAAGCATCTAACAAGTGACTGTGAACCTGGTCCTTTTTTAAACCCAGGAGATCCCTTTAGACATAGGATCAGGTGAACCCAGGACAATGGAAATGTATAGTTTGAATTCATTCTTACATAGGCAAAGATATATAAAAAAGAGATTTCTGCAGGAGTGAGTTTTATTCATTCTTGTATAAACCAACCACAAAATCATATGCAAATACAGACTCTGGCCTCTGGGTCTTTTAATTTGAGACCAACAACATGGGAGCCATGGGAACTAGGCTTGGGATCCAGGTAGGCTCAGAAAAGATAGTTGTTCTTGTTCTGGGATGTCCTGTCATTTGTGAGAAACATTAAGTTCGTCTGAATGCACTAGTTCGTTGCCAGTGGAGCAGGGTGTGTGAACCTAGGGTGTAGTCTCACCAAGCAGAAGCGCTCGCTCCTTTAGATCTTCACATCAATCTTTTTTCTCTGACCTTAAGCATAGTACTTCCTTACCATAGCTGTCTCATGTCACCTCCTATCAAACTGTTTCTAGCCCAAGCTCACTGGCATTCCCTCGGTGGATAAAGGCAGCTGTACAGGGAGGGGCATTTCAGTTATTGTTTTCCAAAAAAAGGGATAAGACCCTTGAATTTTGGGGAAAATTACTTTTTGTTGCCTTGCTCTTATATACCTCCTAAAGGGATGTATGCTTGGCCCTTCTATGGCTTTTGCAATCAATCAGATACATTACTGCTATCTATGATAGAACATTTATATTTCCGCCAGTTTCCTTTATATCAGTGAAAAAATAATAATATCTAGTATTTATATAGTGCTTTAAGATTCATAAAGTATTTTACAATGAATTATTATCTCATTTGATCATCACAACAATCTGAAGAGGTAGATGCTGGTAGATTTCCATTTTACAGTTGAGAAAACTGTAAGTGATCTCCCCAGGGTCATACAACTAATAAATGACTAAGGCCAAATTTGAATTTAGGTCTTCCTGACTCTAGGCCCAACACACTGCCCACTGCACCACCTAGCTGCTTATTATGTGCCAGGAATTGTGTAAGCTAAGAGCTGGATGTAATAGTGATGGAAAAGAAAGAGTCTGTGCCCTGAGGGAGCTCACATTGTATTAA